CCTCTCCTCCTCCTGAGCACCTATCGAAGAAGGGTCACTCAAAAGTAAAGCCTGAGCAGCAAGCATACGAGCACGTGCCTCCTGCAGACTCTTATGGATAGTATCAATATGATGACCGAAACGACGCAACACAGGCTTCAAAGCATGAAGATTCATACCAAAACTCACAAGAGGAGAAACCTGAGAATGAACCTTCCACGTGTCCCGAACAACTGACAATAACAGGCGATCGGCAGCCCAATAGTCAAAGAATCGAAAAGATGGCCGGCACCGAGGCACCACAGCACCAACAAGAAAAACAAGAGGGCAATGATCAGAGACACCCCACTCACGAACCTGAACCTCAAAAACAGGCATGGAACCAAACCAAGCGGAATTGACCAAAACACGATCAAGGCCCTTGAGAATAAGACCATCCCTCAAATGCTTATTTGTCCAAGTAAACCAAGACTCAGAAACACGAGGCTCTACCAAATCGGCCTGTAACAAAACATCATCAAAATCCTCAATATCTGTCAAAACAGGACTACCACCCAACACCTCAGACGAGTGCCGAATAGCATTAAAATCACCCATCACCACACAAGGACCAGACCATGCCGAACAAATGGACACTAGAGAGTCCCACAACAGAGCCTGCTCAGAGGAGAAATTAGAAGCATAAACACAAAGAACCTGCACCGAAAGATGAGAGACTCGATCAAAAACAACACCATGCACAAACTGATCAGAAATAGTAATCGGGGAGAAATCATAACGTCCCGGGCGCCACAACACCCAAATCCTACCAACACCAGAAGAAGAGTAACTACTAACGCACTGCCAATGCACGTGGAAGGGGGGAAAGACAGAGGCAAAATTACGATGCAAAACACGAGTCTCCAAAAGACAACAAAACTCAGCATGAACACTACTCAGAAACGAGCGGACCTCGCGACCCTTTGCGGCGGCATTCAAACCCCGCACATGGTAACTACATTAAATCATGACCCGTACACTTGCGGTAAGCAATTTATGCTACAAAAGCTCGGGTTCAATTTTGCATTGTACAGGTTTCTCTCAAAGTTTGAGGCTCGAGGGAAAAATGATAACTTTGGCTATGGGGCCGGGCTTAAAGTAAAATATTTTTTGTTGGAAGGCTTTTTGAATGGTGAAGAAAAACAATAAAGATTTGAACACCTTTTAAAGTGATGTTCCAAATCAGAAAGTCTCACGCGACAATGATAGATAAAATAGGCACGCAGAAGAGAAAGAACAAGGGGGTAAAAATTTTAGGAATTTTTTTTTTCGAATAAAAGGAACATAAAGACGATATAGAAAAAAAAGGATATATCGAATCTAGAGCCTCAGCTTTGACATCAAATGATATCTAATATCAATGTCCTCGTCAGTTTGCTTCTTCACCAATGAGCTAGCCAACAAAAATAATGATTTTGTGAAATAAATAACATCTTGGTGTGTGCATGTAAATGATATTAAATAGTTACTAAAACAATGATATTAAATAGGTGGGTTGTTGCAATGAATCAGATATATAGGAACCATATTCCCAACCATTCTCACCATCGTAGAAAAGAGGACGAATAAATCACTCCAAAACGTTCTACATTTCAAAAAAAATAAAGTTTATTTGTGGTTCCACCACAACTTGATCTTGGACTAACGAATGTGAAAATTCACATTTGTCTCCCTTGGAATGTTAAGACTCGATTTAGATCACTAAAAATAATTCTAAAAGGGGGTTATAAAGGATCATTACCCAGTGACCCTTAATAAAATCAAATGGGTCTTTGCTATTCGGATTGTACGAAGCTCGTTGGAGGGAACCGCTGCGGTTGCTGTAGAAATCACATAAGGGAAAGACCGCACAGATCTGGTTTCGTACGGGCTACTTGTAGGTCGCCGGAGACACGGGGTGTTGGTCATCGAAA